GATTATGTGATACATACACATTCATCATAATATAACCTCTTGTCGAAAGTATACGAAAATGCATAACCCGACTTAAAATCACAATTTTTTATAAGAAAAATAACTTACCAACCATTTATCTGAAAGTTTATTGTTCCTTCTGAATATCTGAGTTTGATTCTTATACAACATCATATTAAAAAGAAAAGTGTTAATACTGCTATATACATGTATATGCATGTATATGTATATATATATATATATATTGCATTTTCTCTGTTATCTACATATATTAATGCCATTCCTTGTGGAGGAAGAAAGCTCATAATATATAGATATAGTTTTTGTATTTTCTGTTTATAAAACTAAGAAAAGAAACAGAAGATACACTTGATGAATTCTTCTTTCTCAAGTCATGAGAAACCCTAATCTTCCCTTCCATTTACCTTATTCCTGACATCAACTCTCACAGAAGCTTCCCTTCAAAATGCTCCATGGCTGCTGCACCAGAATATTATTTTGTAAATAATAAAAGGATTTATTTTTTTTTATCAGCTTAAATTTTGAAAAATTTGAATATAATTTTATTATTTAGAATATTTTTAAAGTCAAATATTAATCTATAAATAAAAAATCAGTTTAAATTTTAAAAAAATTTTATTTTATTAATAAATCGTCGAAAATTTAATTATACGTAAAATAATATATTAACACATAAGTAATATCGAAAAAAATTTCGCCCATTTAAATTTTTTGAATAGTCGATCCAACCTTATTATTTTTAAAAAATTAGTAATGAAAACATTCAAACTTATTTTTTTTAAAAAAATAATAGTAGAATATTTTTTCGTATGATTTTAATATTACATATTTTTCTTGTTACTTTTACTCATTTAAAATTTTATTCTCGAAATCCAATTTACAAATATCGAATTCGGATTATCAAAACGGAATTTTGGGTACATCCCAAGTTTTTCTTTTTCAATTTTCTTCGTAATCGATCCAACTTTATTATTTTTTAAAAAAATTAGTAGTAAAAACATCCAAACCCAATTTTTGTATAATAATAAAATATTTCTTCGTACGATTTTAATACTACATATTTTAGAATTTTATTCTCGAAATACGACTTACAAAATATCGAATTCAAACTATCAAAATGCAGTTTTGGGGTAATTCCCAAGTTTTTGTTTTCAATTTTGTTTGGTTTATTAAAATTTTTTGTTGTTGAAATAATTAAAATGTAGATAGATGAAGGTACAAAGTTAGGTTGGGAAGATAATTTTTGCTTTACATATGCTGCTTAAAGAAAGGCAAAACCCTATGCAAAGTTACAAGAAAGTCAAAAAGTTTGAACTAGAATATATATATATATATATATTTATCATTCAAAGAAAAATTGTATCATATATGTTGTCCATTGAAATTGAGTGTGTGTGTATATAGATGTATGTCTCTGTGTGTGTGTGTGTATGTATATATATATATATATTCATGTAGCATTTAAACAGGATTTGGAGGCTACTCAATTTCTGACCAACTCTTTTCTTGTCTTTTACAAATTGCCTGTCACCCATTATTAAATATTATATTATATGATTTTTATTAAAATTATCCACAATATCTTGTGGGTAGATAATTAGATTTATCAACTCTTTTGCTATTAAATATATATATATATATATATTTTAGTGTTTGGTATTTATTTTCTTCATAATTTGTAGTATGATAGATCATTAAATTAATTTTTAAAATTTAGTACATATTAATCTTATAATTTAATTTATAATATTTTTTTTTTGAATTATAAATTGGTTTCTAATGTTTTTTATTTATTTTAAACTTTTAAATTTCTTCCCATCTACTAATGAAAAAAATTCAAATAATTAGAACATATGTAGATACTTTAAAAAATAATTTAAATGTAATTTTGAGTAGTAAATCAAACTAATATTAATTAAAATTTATTCTTTCAAACTATTTTTTAAAATATTCAAATCAACTCTTTTAACTATTTTGATTAACAAATAAAAAAAAATTAAACATTTGAAATAAATAGAAAACATTAATTGTAGCAGCCCGGATCTAAAAATGAGATAAATTATAAATTAAATGCGAAAGCGAAATAATAAAGTTAGAGTTTACATTCATTACACAATAATTCAGATTACTCAATAAAACTACGAAAATAACATTTTTAAAAGAAATAACGAAAAATCAAAGAAATAAATGAAAAATAAACAACTGGACATCCTATTCGCAACCTTCTTGTGGATCGGAATTTGAATCTTGGTAATCTTGATCTGAAATAATTAATGAAAAAAGTGAACTACACTAACCCAGTAAGAATGTTACACTACTCACCGGTACAGAAATGAATGTTGGTAAAAATCATAAAAACAACTAATTGAATTTTTAATTTAAGTAAATTCATTTATCATAAATAAAATCATTTACTGCATACTTACCGTAGCGAGATTTTCAAAACCAACCTATAGAGGCTGTAACGGCCCTGGAAATTTAAAATGAAATGTGTATTAAAAATATCAAATGCGGAAGCGAAGTCAAAAATTTGATTAACATTCCTTACACTAAAACCAAAAAACGTGCTCACAATATAAAAGATTAAACTACCTAAAGGAGAAACTTGAAAGTAAAAGCTACGAATATGACTATGGAGTCTTTAGGCGTCCCCTTCGTCGTCCTCCTGCGGAACCGGCTCGGGAACAATGTCTTCCTGATCTGAAATGATTAAATAAGGAATGAGCTACACTAGCCCAGTAAAGACATCACGATATCTCACCGTCACGGAGGTAAAGGTGGGTAGAAAACACAAAAAGACCAATGGAGCATAATTTA